GTTCTATTTCCTTTTGTATTAGGCTTTGAATCTAATTCTCAAATCTAAGCACTTATGCTTCACCTGAAAAATATGCAGGCAGTCTTAAATGGACACTTACATTCAGGCTTACGCTTTTATGTAAATACGTTTTGCGTGCCCGATTTCCCATTAACACAAGGTCACAAATTAAGTTTCTTATGTATTTACATAACATCTGAACATGAATTGCCTACAACTGCTGATTGCATGAATGCGCCTATTCAGGATTCGTATGGGCTTTGTGTCTGTATTTGTATGAGTGTCAATATATTCACAGAGATAGGTCGAAGCATTAGATGCTGATACAGGAATTTTCCATATTTCTAAATATTGATAGGTTTTAAGAGGGAATTTTGTCTACCTTCTTGATTGTTTTTTTTCCAAACAAAGTTTTCTTTAACCTTTTTCCCCCTTTTCAATACCTTTTTTTAAATTGTAGTTCAAACTGTACTTTGACAGTCGTATTCACAAAATCTTTTGCCAGAGCCAAAGACAGCATAGAAAAGCATGTGTAGTAGTGATGCTATTGATCTTTATACACATTAAGTTTGCTAATGCTGCTGTGAAATAGGTAAAATAGTACATTAATTTTATAGATGGGCAAATGCTTTAATTTGTTTTCCCCTCTCAATTTTTCCAAGTAATGCTGTGAGTCAATAAGTACTATTATCCATGACTCTGGAGCCTATTAAATATATTTCACGCACAAGTGTGTAAGATCATTATATACGTATAACCAGGTCATCTGTAAGTGGCAACTAGATTCGGAGATTATGCTATTGCACATGAATTAAAATAGGCTGCTGTGTTGTCCAAAGTCTCCATCAACAATATAATGAGCGAGGGTCCACATGGATGCCTCATGGTCATGTGTGCGGGCGATACCAGAATATCACCCACATGAGATTCCTTCTGCCTGTTCCCCATTCCCCCCCAGCAGCTCCGGGCTGTCCTTGAGTGATCCTTCTCAGCCTGACCAACAGCATCTCTCCAGACTCCTCTGTGTCAGCAAAAGCTTTGAGTCGAAAGAGTAGAAACCTGGGTCTCTATTCCTCCTCCTGCTCCTCCTCTTCCTCTTGGATGCTCCCAGTGGAGTGTGACTGGGGAGCATCCTCCTTGGGTGAACTCTATGGGAGAGAAATGTCAACACATTTTCTTTGGATCTCTATTCAAGCTGAAGTTCTCTCAAAAGCTTTTAGTTGAGTGTGAATGTCTTTTAGCAGTATTATTAGGCAGACTTCTGCGTATGCATTCTCAATAAAGGAGAGAAGAGGAACGAGGCAGAACTACCCGTTTTTTGTTTCCTTTAGGAGGTGTCCTATGTGGTGACATACTGGGTATTTTAGAGTTGAAATTTGAAGAGAACTCATTTGGCACTTAAAGTATTTTTCCAAAGTCTGATTTTAATCAGCCAAATAACTGAAACCAACTCCTCCCAAGAATCCATCATAAAACCTAGTTTCTTACTCAATATGTTTGCTTTCTGAGCTAGCTCCTTGGCCAGTTTTCCAATGGAAGATTGCCTTTTTTTCCCATGAGAGCAATTCCCTTAGCATAAGTGAACGCCCAAGTGAAACGTGGCTTATGTACCAGCATCTGTCATCAGCCTGCACTTACTGCATGCGATGGTTTAAGGGTGAAGGAAACCAGCAGAGACCCCGCGGCCACTTTTGACCACTATGTGAGAATTCCCTGGCGTTGGGTTACCCAAGACTGATGCTCCTGTGATGAACGCCGGACTGTGTGATGGCAGGAGGCTGTAGCGGGAGGAGCTGCTTGGACATTAGGTGATGGGGCAAATCCTGTGACAACTCAGCATCACAGCCTTTCTCCTGCTCCAGAATGAGATCCTGTTCTCCTGTGCACCCTCGATGAGATACAGGCAGCCGGGCAAAGGAGCGTGCATCAAATCAATGAGCCTCACACCACATGCCTGAGTTTTGACAGACCTAATGTGAGCATGGAGATGCATAATGGTCCCTAGAAGACCATAAACTAGTAGAAATCAGAATACCCCTTAAACTGCTGTGATTTAAGCCTAGGGTCAGTCTTCTCTTCTTAAAATCCTGGGAGTCGCTGAAGCAGAAAGAACTGCACCACTGACTTAAATCTCTACATTTTCCTCAGATATTCTCTCTTTCCCAATGAGGAGTTGCTTATACTTCTCCTAGACCTTATAAACATGACATACTTACGTGAGAGTGAGTTGAATTCTCCTCTGCCTCATGTCTCACCAAGAAAACAAAGTCCTAATTTCTGACTGCAGTGTCTTTGTAAAGCCAAATAGTATTTTAAGGGGCAGAAATAACAAAGCTGAATCATCAGATCACAGTTTGAGTTTCTGATCTCAGTTGGAGTTTTAGGGGCAGACGTTTGTAAGTCGGACAATTACTCTTCTAGAAGAATTTTACAGTTCCTTGATTTTTAAAGAAACGCTGGAGAGAAGTAGAACATGTGGTACTTTCAGAATGTCTGAAAGTAATATAGTTCAACTGCTTATGAAGAACAGCCTGCATTGACTTGATGCCTTCCCCTGAGGTAGTTAGGACTATTGCAGACACTAATCAAACTGCCCCCAGGAACTTCCTTTTAAAGAGGCAAAAAAGAAGAAACTGAGAAACAAAAACGTGTTTTCATCCAGCAGGAACAGAACAACTTTTTTGAAGGTCTCAGCTGCGTAACTTCACCCTTCCCTTTTGATAAAGCCTCATTTTTTAAAGGTGCTTTTCCGATCCATCAGTTGGACGTGAAGGCGGCACACAGCTGGTGTCAGGGCTGGCGCTGCAGGGCTATCGCTGCTGCGGGGAAGCGATGTGAGAGAGACGTGATGCTGGGTTCAACCACGGAGGAGGGCTTTGCACTCCCAGCCTCCCATAAGAGGCATGAAGGGCTGGCTGGCGTCTGCCGCTCCGTGACCAGCTCATGGTGTGTAGTGTTCATTTGAATTGGAGACGTGTAGATAAGTCTTCACTCTTGATTAGTGAGAAAAGTGCTCGTTGCATTAGGTCAAACTGTGTCCTCATTTATGTCTGTGAGCCCTGCGGGAGCAAACGTGGGTAGCCCGGCCTCGTAGGGTCACACTGGTCTTTTGTCGCCTCGAGAGTGTGTATTGTGTAAATCTGGTGTTTACCGTCTGACTGTATTTTATTCAGGAATCAGTCAAGATAGATTTGTTTAACTTAACCCAGTCAGGCTTTCACTATAGAGGGGCAACGTCTACAGAGTGCGGCATTTGTAGTTGGTGTTGAGACAGTTTACGGTACAGATTGTGTTTTTGCTGCCTTTCTGCAAAAGAGCACTGCTAGCTGCAAAACCAGAGGGCACAGCACCGTATGGCTCCTTTCACAGAACAGCTCCTGAAAACAGTCTCAAATTTTATACGTCTTATTGTCAAAGGATGGCAATGATGTACCCTGCCTCTATCCCTGATATATTAGTAACATCAAGACTGGTAATGCTGGAGCATCAATGTGCTCTGTGCATGCTCCGTAACCTAAAATCTGTTGATGGTTTTGAAAAGGTGGATAAAATGACTTAGTCAATTTAATTTAAATTGAAGGCAGTTCTTTAGTGTGAGATTTGCTCATTTTAGTTCTTCCAGTTATTTAGGATCTCCATATCATATTGGTCCAACAAAGTTCTTAAAAATCAAAATTTGAATGGTAGGATTTTTTGCTGATAAAACTCCCATAAAATTCATCCCCACCAGCAAATTTTTCTTACGAGGGTTGGAGTAGTGCTTGCAACACGTATTTTAGGTTAAGGATTTGGCTAGAGGGCAGAATGATCATAGAATACAAAGGCTGCATAGTTTTCAATTAGACAAAACGTGTAAAGCTAAACTTCATGCAGAGACATTTGTTGCAAGCACACATACTTTCTGCTCTTATATGGATGACTAGAAGTGTGTATTTAGCCACATGGGTTATTAAATGCAACACAGTTAATGGCATTTTCCTCCCTTCCAGAGGTTTCCCACACCACATTACTTCTTAGTGGCATTTAGTTCTCTCCTTCCCATTATACCAAACCCCCTCAAACAAGCACGTGTGAAGGGATCTCCACCAGCAGCAAACATGGTGATCTGGTGCAAGGCATCACAAATAAAGCTTCCTCAGGGTTGCATCACAGTGCTGCCTGTGAAGTGTGATTTTGGAAGCCAAACAAAAAATCCTTGTTCATCATATTTGGATGTTTATTGTGGAACTTATTAGCAGTTTACATAGCTTCAGCCACTTTCTTAAAGATTTTAACAGGAATTTCCAACCTTCCCTGAGCTCTTCGCTGATGTGCAGTAGAAATCAACAGAAATAATTTGCATCTTTGTTGTTTGCTGCTTTTGGCCAAACCTAAAATATTTTCAGTTCATTTCAGTCATACGTAGAATATAATAATTATTAATTTTGATTCTGTTGCCAGAATTGCTTTGGTGTTTCAGTAAAGCCAAAAAATACTTTATACCTGTTAACATAATTTCAGAATTATTGAATGTACTCTTTTCCTCGTAAATGCTTCCTAATTCTGTGTCTAACCCTGTTGCATTTCAGTCAAAGGATCTCTTGGATAATTGCAACCGGTTAAAAATCTGATAAGCTACAACCATTCTCATTTACTCTAAAGCCCGAGTGCTTTTTCCAGAGGTCAAAATTTACTAAGATTAAAATGAAAGAGAAAGATCTGCTGGAAGCACCAGTTCTCCATAAAGGCTGTTTACCTGCAGAGGTTGAATTTATTTGGTGAACACAATGATCACAAGAAGAAGAATCACCTATGGTGGCCAATCTGTAGCAAGATTGTCTTAACTTTTCAGAAAGGCTTTTCTTAGGATGGGGGTTCCAACGGGAAAATTTGGGCTGGGCCAGTAAAAAAATAACAAAAATCCAATATTAGCTTTTGGGAGTAGGCAAAAGGAGCAGGGCAGTAGTCATTCTTTAAGACAGACCCTTGCTCAGTGTGCACCTCCTGCTCTCTCCCCACAGCCCCCTGCTCGCCGTCTGTTTTGCTGCTTCCTGCGGAGTCCCAGGAATCACACTGCTGACGCTGGGAGTAAACCCTCTCACCGGGGCCCTGGGAGCCTTCAACATTTTCTTGTACACGTGTTGTTACACGCCCATGAAGAGAATGAGCATTGCCAACACGTGGGTGGGAGCTGTCGTTGGTGCCATTCCCCCCGTCATGGGCTGGACTGCAGCTACTGGTAGTCTCGATGCTGGTGAGTATAAAACGCTTGCATCTGGGCGAGCGGTTGTCAGCATTGCCTTTGGGATAACTAAAAAGACCTACTCAAAAGGCAGTAAGCCTCCTTCTTTATGCTTGTTGACCCGGTACTGCTTCAAAAGCAGATATATTCTGCTGTTTGCAATGCCAAAGTCTGTTACAGTGTGGTACCATAAGGACTGAATGAGTAGACATGATGGTATCATTCTCCTTACGGGGGCATTTCAGGGACAAACATGAGCTGATTAAAGACCGTGTCCTATTGAATATGTGTTTAGGCCATCTTAAAAAAATAGTCTGGAAGGAAAATAGTGTCTTTGGGGTTCACATGGAAGAAAATATTACATAATTTCAGGATTAAAACCATACCCAGTAAGATCCAACTTACAAGTCAGGAGCTTTCAGCTGGAAAACTCCCAGATGTGTTTATTACTGTCTTTCCACAAGCCAGAAAATATCCTAGGAAGACTAATTTATTGGTGTATTTCTTAATTGCCCATTTCTAAACTCTAAGTTTTAAATATTCCTTCCCCCCCTCCTTGAAAAGCAAACGAAGATTTCTATTTTAGTAACTGTGAACCATTTTTACACCCCTCATAAAACACTGATCTCTTCAGCAGCTAAACTCTGACACAATTAGGGCTTGTTTTTCCTGCCAGCTAGAAACTTAAGAATCAAAGTAGCTCCACATACTTATATTCTGAAGAAACTAATGAAGTTCAATTAACAGGTCTGTTAAGAATTGTTTTAGCGCACACTTGTCCCACAGTGTGCCATATTTAAGGCTTGAATAATACTTTCAACAACAAGGCTTTTAACCAGAAATTATCAGAATCTGTGCAAAATCCAGTCTTCACTTATGCTACACACTCCTTCATTTCTGTGTGCACGCCGTTCTTCATTTATGCTATGCACTTCCTATAAAAGTCAGTCTGAATTGGCTTTGTGTACACATGTTGTGATACAGATCTAATCCAGAGCTAGGATGAAAGGTTTTGTGGGTGTTTTTTTTAAACGTGTGTACTACTTCTATACAAACATTTACTTCTCTGAAAGTCATTTTTATATTTAGACCTATAAATGGTATGTATGTATATGTATAGTGTCTCATATTAAGGAGTGCATAACAGACATCATTAGAAGCTCTGTATTTCTAAAGAGAAGAGAATGAAATAAAAACACAAAATAGATATTTTTAAGGACTGTATCATTCTGGCTGCAGTCGCCTAGATCTTGGATCTTACGTTGTTTAGGGATTTCTGCGTTGGTTTTGGCATCTCTTTGCAGAGTTGATGCTAAAAGATGATTCTCATGTGCCCATGCTTCACCTGCGAAGTCCAGCCTGGAAGAGCTGGCACGAAGAGCTCCATCTTACCAAAAGCCCTTGCTGTAGAGGCTGTCACAGTTCAAATTTTCACCTCTGGTTTTAAAATGCCAGCTAAACTGCTGCAGCTAAAGCCCAGCACATTGAAGTAAACTGGCACTGATTATCATTATCTTTAATTCGTCAAATTACAACTTGCTCTTCAAGACCTATTTCGCAAAGAGCGAAGCTGTCCCTGTGCGGCAGGCAGGGCAGGCAGCAGAGACCACTGTCTTCGTCCCAAGCAAGCTCTTCCTCTCTAATTTGCAGCTGAGATGTGGTTAAGTGTCCCTCTGCCAGCTCTGCTGTGGAGGGGATAATCTCTGGCAATGATGCCATCAGTGGAAGCTGATAACTTTAAACCACCCGAGCAGACTTTGCCAGAACATTATGATCTGCGCTGGTGTGTAACCCGATGTATTGTTTGTTCTGGGTAGCTAAAACCTTCTGCGGTCACCTCCCAGGCTGTGTCAGCGAGGCCAGGCAGCTGGTTTAGCAGTGGAAGAGATGTTACTGAGCTGATATTGGTCTTTGTAATGAAGTGCACCTGGGGAGTCCTGAAAATGGTGACCTGAATGTAATATTTTAGTGCATTTCAGTATTAAAAAAAAAAAACCAAACCCACAAACACCTTTAAAAAGAAAAGAGAGAAATAGAAGAAAAGGATTGCATTGTAGACTATCATTTCCAGTGTTACACATTCTACCATTGCGAACAAGAAGAGAGTTCAGCACCTAGCAGCATCAGACCCATGTGGAGGACAAGGGTGCATCCACATGCATACATACACGACGTGCAGACCTGCATCCCTTCTCTAACCAGCCTACCCACAGTTGTTGAACTCATTAATAATGTGTAATTAGCTTGGAGACTTAACCTAGTTTTAGGTAGAGGTGTGAAAATGCATTTGCACCTCGTTTAAAAAAAAGATCATTCCACTCAATAACAAAGAGGAATGTGAAGGAAGGGAGTTAGAAAACTAATGAGAAGGAAGGTTCTCACCACTTAACTGGTGGTTTTTTGAGTTTACATTTTCCTGTGGATTTTTTCTCTCCTTGTAACCTTCTCACAGCAGCACATTGTTGTACATGTTGCTGGTTGTAGGGAAAACAGTATTTAAGTGTAGACCTTTCATTACCATTTGAGGGGGGGCAACAAAACGTTACACCATACTGTATGGTACCCGAGGACAGCCATGTCTGCACTCTTCTGAAACGTCAGGAGTTCAATAACATCACTGGCGTGGTTCATAGATATTGCTGCAAGATGCTCTTGGTCGTTCGAGAGAGTTGGAGATGATTCCTAGTTTCCAGAGATAATAACAAAGAGTCTTAGGTTGGAGCAGCCTTGTTATAATTTGTCCTCATTTTGTTTATAACTTTCTTATTTCAAAGATTAATACCTTGACAGATTCTTGCACAAGAAACAAATATCACATATTTGCAGATAAAAATCTGGGACCTTTATATTTCCAGTGATGCCAACACTTGCTGCTATTTCTTACAGGACACATCTTTTGCAGATCTTACGGTGATTCCCAGTGATGCTTGCTTCCATTTCTGCCCCTGATAGGTAACTTTAATGGTATGCTCTTAAGCCTGATTGAAAATCCTGCCCCCAACCCTGGATTTTGTGCCAACATAATTTAGGGAAAACCTTACATTTCAAAAGTGAAAGATAAGGTTATCTCTGGGAAGATGTGGAATTCTTTGTTGTGGGTTTGGGGGGTTTTGTGTTTTTTTTTAATGGCAGCTGTTTGAAATTGATGAAAGATGGGGAATGTTAACATTTCCTCATTGGGGGAGCCGAGCGCAGGTGAGATGGTCAAAGGTGCGTGATAAATGTAATTTATCACGTGGATATCGCTACCACGTATCTGGTGTATTTATGCACAACTTAACTGCCAGCCGGTGATTTGCAGTAACACATTTGCTTCCTTGAAAGCAGATTTCATTGCTCCTTTGTGGTATTATTCATTTCTAAAGAGATTTGTTTTTCTAGTAAATCTAGACACCCTCAAATTATTTCTCCCGATTTTGCAAAGGAAGGACTAGCGGGAAAATAATGAAATTCACTTAAAGCCTTAAGTGATAGCATAAAGAAAGGAAGAAGAAGCAAAGCTTGGCAGCATGTCCTGTTCTGTGCTGGATCCTCCTCCTGCGTGGGATCCACATGCAGGAGAGCTCCTGGCTGTGCCACGCTGCTGTTGAGCCTGCGTACAGACATCTTTAGGAAGTAACAGAGCTATTTATTTTGGCATGTGAGAGGCACGATGTATCCATGCTTTAAATTACTCTTGTTTTGCTGGTCTTTCTCCTCAGACTAATGCTGCAGCTTGCTTGTTAGAAATGTTTGTTGTCTATTTAAACTTGTTATTTCTAGTTAGCAGAAAAACTGAATCTGGAGTAAACATTTCCAAGTGCCATAGCCCATGTTTTGCCTTACACATTTTGCACTTCTTCCGCCAACCTTTCTGTGCTAATGCACTGAAGGCTCCATCGCAGCCGGCGAGCTGTATCGGTGTCTTAGAGCAGAGCAATTCAGTGCCACGGTGTTCATACAAACCACCCAGTTAGATGGAAGTGACAAGCAGGGGTCCTCAACATAATGTGCTTATCAGTTAAGGGGATTTATTCTGAGTAGGTGGCAGTGGCATAGCAGATAACAGCCCTGACAGCATAGCAGACATCACAGACCCGTGGTGGCCTGGAGCCATAGGTATTACTGCACCAAAGAATGTTTATCTCAAGAGACTATTTAGTTTATCTCAGATGCTCCACTTCTGGTCTCGCTTTCCTGAAAGACATCTTGTACTGATTTTCATTCATTTTCAGAAATTTAAATAATTCCTGGGGCTGTGGAATTTATAGACTGAGTATCAATTGTAATCATGTGGAGGCTGATTTTTAAATTGCCTTTACTTTGTAATTCAAATTGTGTTGTATGGTAGACATTAATTATGTCAGCCAACATCTATTTACAAATGGGGATTTAAAAACGGGCAGTTCTTATCAGCTAGTGACATTTGGCAGATGGATGGTTTCAGTAACAAAAAAAGAGAATAGGGGAGAAGGGGGGGCTGTGCCCAACCTGTCAATGGCTGGAGTCTCTCATACCTTCCCCGGTGTAGCACTTGTCTGCCAGGAGGAGGGAGAGCAAAGCAACAGCTTAATTGCATGCAGAATAAGCTTGGAGATCTTTGTGTCCCTTCCAGTTAAGCACTTTGAGCTTTCAAAGCCCCTTGATGTGCGAGGAGGTCTGGGAGCCAGCCAACCCTCCCCACCGGAGCACGGCAGCTCCGCCGTCCTGCCGCAGGACCAGAGGAGGCTCCAGCCGTAAACTACCTCTAGTAAACTCAGGTTTTTGGGGTTTCACTTCTTAGATGAAAGATGACAGAATTTGTGGTCTGTTCCAGAGGAAGCAGAGATATTCATGTCACTGACATCTGAGAATTGGAAGCTGGGGGCCCAGGAGTGTGCTTTGTGGGGTAAAAACCAAGGCAGAGGGACAGTACTAGTAAGCAGCTGGTCTGAATTTAGGACAAAAGCCAGTGGGCTATTTTCCCCCCCTTTCCATCTTCACAAGAGACAAAAGAAATGGCAGTTCCACCGTTGGGGCGTCTGGGGGACCGA